TTTGCCGATTCCGATATATCGGTGACATGCTCATATCGGCCGATAATATCGGCTAACCGATATATCGGTCGGGCTCTAATCGCTATGATGTTTTGGGTGGTTGCTAGGGTGTACTGCATGTTGCAAGGGTGTTTGGGGTGTTGCTAGCATTGTCAGGGTTGTTTCTAGGGCATTTTGGGTGGTTGCTAGGATGTTCTGGGTGTTGCTGTGTTGTCTTGGGTGGTATCTAGGGCATTCTGTATTAGGGGTGCTCCGATCAGGATTTTTGAGACCGATCACAGAAAGCAGTATCTGCCGATATGATCACCGATACCGATCTTTTTAAAGCCTTCTTTTTATCATGTAGAATTATTATAGTAAGACTTCAACCAGGAATTTTAGACATTTATTCAGGGCCTGAATTTCATTTTTGAAAATGAATTCCCCTCTTAGGTGACTCTTGTGAGAGAGAATTTTTTTTAACTTTCCCCGCCAGCATTTTTGAAAAATGTTGCCAGCCACCGCCAGCGATTTTGATGATTTTCACTAAAATCTGATGGCCTCCAGTATATTTTGCTGTATGAATATTTGAATTTGAATCAGTTTTATTCTAGCTTAAAGCATTCTTAAGCGTTTTCTTGTAAAAGACGAGATAACTCGTCAATGGCGGGGAAAGAGTTAATTTGAGGGGTGGAGGGGGGCATTTTTTTGATATTTTTCAAAAATATATATTCACCTATCTCACCTAAATGTTTGATCATGCACTGCATGTTTTTGCAATTTTTTGTTTTTACAATCGTGCAATTTTTGCACAATAACTTACACACAGCGCAAGCCTGATTTCGTGAGCTGTATGTGAGGCAGCCTTTTACACCAGGTTCACACATACTCCGTTTGCAGTGCGTGTGCAGTCCATGTGCGGTATGTAAGCAGTGCAGAAGCAGCATGGACTCATTGTGCTCAGTCTGCAACTGATCCGTGGCTGTTTACTACAAACACAACATTTATCCATTATTTTGATTTCAAATCCAAACATTGCTACTTAAAATGCTTTTCCAGCATTGTGATTATTTTTTTACACAATGCAGTAGCTAATACAATATTTCATAGACGTGTTTAAACACAATAAATATAAGAAACACACTATTCAATGCTTTTTACTTTTACATTTACTTCTAGATTGATATATTAAGTTGCTCAAGCAAGTGGCAAAACATTAAAACTGCTTTTCTTACATTATCACAAACATTCTAAATTAGAACTTACCATTGACGGAAACAGTCAGCACTACTGCCTTTTCTTTTGCATTTAAATCTTTATTACAAGCAATCCTGTGGTTCATAAAGAACTTTGTTTTCCTACCTCCACGAGTGCCATCTATTATTGCCTTGTTTATCTAAAAGTGCTCTTTTCCTTTAAACCTAGCCAAAAAGCCATAGCCTATGTTGACTGTGAAACACAGTAGACTTTAATTATATGCATTTATGGTGTAATTACTACATTTTCGTGTCAATCCATGTTCATATTTACCTCAAACAATGCGCTGTTACTTTAATTCAGCACGTGCAGAGCAGCAAAAATAGACAAAAATAGATCTCTGCACTGCTGCAGACGCACCACTACTGGAACGCATTGCCGGACCACAACCATGTGCAGTGTGAACGCTTTAATCTGTTAACATGAGCGTGGGCTCGATTGTGCAAGTGACAATTCCTGTGTCAACTGTGCAGCTCGCTTATAGTGCAGACGAGATGTGATTTGAAGCCATTTGCACATTTTGAGAGAGAGAGAGCGCGCGCGTGGTGATGCACTCACGCTGTTTGTGAAATTGTCTCACAGAGAGTTTTCAAATTAGCTACATTATTAATTTAATAAAAGTTATTTAATGAAGAAATATGAACTGTACCTCACCTTCAGCATTACAATTATTTCACCCGCGCCGGACAGAGACTGAGACGGTGCCACTACATGTCGTGCCAAACCTTTGACGGCAGGCGTATCATCAGCTTGAGATCGTTTTTTTGAGATCGGCCTTTATAGAGACCGCCGATCAATCATCCCAAAGCGATTTTCGGCCGATAGTGATTGGTAGCCGATCAATCAGAGCACCCCTATTTTGTATGTTGATTGGGTGTTCGGGGTGGTTCCTAAGGTAATGCTCTGCTATTTTGTTGATTGGTGGTTGCTAGGACATTCTGCATGTTGCTAGGGTGTTTAGGGTTGTTGTTTGGGGGTTCTGATGGTTCTGTGGTGTTTTGGGTCGTTTCTAGGGCATTTTGCATGTGGCTATGGTGTTTTGGGTATTGCTAGGATGTTCAGGGTTGTTGCCATGGTGTTGATAAGGGATTCTGGGTGGTTGCTAGGGTGCTCTGGTGTTTGATGTGGTGTTTTGAGTGATTGCTGAGGGTGTTTGGGATAGTTGCTAGGGTGTTCATTGTTGCTTGTGTCTTCAGTATGGTTGCTAGGGCGTTCATTGTTGCTAGGGTGTTTGGTATGGTTGCTAGGGTGCTCATTGTTACTTGGGTGTTAAGGGTTGTTGCTAGGGTGTTCTGACTGGTTGCTAGGGTGTTTGGGGTTTTATTCTTCTGTACCTATTTTTTCATCAGCCCCGTCTGTGTTCTCACATATGTGTCCATATGTACACACACACACACACGCGCGCGTGAACCTACACCGGCTCGCACAAGCCTCTCTTCCAGTGTTATTTCTCTGCTGGGGAAATTGAGCTCATAAAAGATGAAAAGGCTTATTTAAGAGAAATTGCAGTGTAATGAAACCCCATTATTGTATCCCATGGTGCAATGCCTGTGGCAGCAGCTGGTTTTCACTGCTCAATCCTGTTTGTGCGGATTAGTCTCTCTCTCTCTCACACGCAGAGACACACTATCTCGTTTTCACCACTCACACTCAGGCTCACACACACTAATAATTCCTTGTTTTCCTCCATGGGGTGCTACTATCTCAGATGTGTCATTGGGGCTTACATAGATGTAGTCGCACATATGCACTGCAGAAAATTTTATTTTTATAATTGTCCTTGTTTTGTTTTCCACAAACAAAACAAAACAAAACCCTAAGCATTCTAAAAACCAGATTACGAGTCAAAACTGAAGTTTTTCAGAGAGTGCGTCTCAAATTTAAGTGTATTTGGACTGCATTTTGCGTTATTGCTATATACTGTAGACTATAGAGAGTTCTAACATCTGTTATCAGATAGATTCTTTTGAAATAAATTATTTTATTTAGCAAAGATGCATTAAATTGATTAAAAATATTGCTATTTCAAATAAATTGTTCTATTTAACTTTTTGTTCATTGAAGAATCCTGAAAATTTTTTTTACAGTTTCCACTAAAATATTAAGCAGCTCAACTGTTTTTATCATTTCATCATTCATAATAATAATTAAAAAAAAGTTTCTTGAGCAGCAAGTCAGCATATTAGAATGATTTCTGAAGAGTCATGTGACACTGAAGACTGGAGTAATGATGCTGAAAATTCAGCTTTGCATCACAGGAATAAATTACATTTTAAAATATATTCAAATAGGAAACACTTATTTTAAGTACTTATTTTAATATTGTTTCACAATATTACTGTTTTCAAATAGGAAACACTTATTTTAAGTACCTATTTTAATATTGTTTCACAATATTACTGTTTTTATAACTGTTGTTATTTTTAAAACAATAAATGCAACCTGGGAGAGCGTAAGACACTTTTTCAAAAGCTGCTGTAGACAATAAAAAAATATATAATGTTTTTTTTTTTCTTTGTTATGAATTTTGCTATGTGTGCACAATGTAACTTGAGCTGTTTGAGTGTGTGTGTGTGTGTGTGTGTGTTATATGTGTGTAGTTGTGTGTTTATAGGCAAACCACAGATGTTCTCAGCTGTACAGAAGCGTAACTGGCCTTGCACAGCCTTTCCTAATTAAAACCAAGTGTGGCTACTTGCAGGAGGAGAGAGAGATGGAGCTAGATCCATACATCAGAACACATGTGGAAAAAGTTAGAATTAAGCAGAAGAGTTGTATACCAATCCAATGTATTATTCTGTCAGTTTCTGTTTCTTATGAAGGTTCAGTTTAGAAGACAGTTGTAAGTCATGCTAGGACTCATTACGCATTACAACAGCTTATTCCAAGTTAAATATAGCTTAAAAATCCTATAAAATAAAACTTGAAATAGTTCACCCAAAATGGAATAATTTGCCAACATTTACTCGCCCTCATATTGTTCCAAACCTGTATGAGTTTATTTCTTCTGTTGGACACAAAAGATATTTTGAAGAATGTTGGTAACCAAACCTAGAGCACCTAGAGATGACCTCTACAGCCCTGAATAGGGGCTTTTGCACTGGAGGAACCTTTTCATAGTTCCTAGAACTATTGGTGGAAGTTCACGCTTTTTGGCGTGTTCGCACCGCAGGAACTAGGAACGTATTTTAGTTCTAGGAACTCCATTTGGGGGAACTAATTTAGCTCCTACTTCAGGGTAGGGTCTAAAACAGTTCTATAGGAAATAAAGTGTACGCTGATTGGCCAAACGAAACACCAGCTACCCAGCATTTTTAAGCCATGTAAACATATTTATTCCATGAACATAGAAAACAGCAATAACGGCATTTAACTGTTGTCTGCGGTGTTGTGTTCTTTTCTCAGCCTCGATGATAACACTGCAAATTGTCATAGGAAATTTAGTCAGATTTTCATGCTCTTTCAATCGCATGAATTGTGCGTTTACATTCCATCTCCATTATCAAGAAACCCACGACACACAACAAAAAAAGCTGCAATCGCGGCGTCCTCCATTCACTGGTTATTGATGTTTGTAAATGCCGCGAATAAAGACGGCGCTGTCGGCCGCTTCAGAGTTCCTGCTGCCAGTGCGAATGCAACCAGGAAAACTGCCCCAGGGGGAAATTGGTTCTCTAGAAACTACCCTGAAGGCTAGTTCCTAGAACTACGCGGTGCGAAAGCGCCTAATGTCAGCGGAGACCGTGTCAACTAAATGACCCCCAGAGACAGATCCCCAGCAAAGACCTCGTCACCTCGACGGCCATCAGCACAAGACCACGAAAACCAGACGAATCCTCTGCTCAATCTGACTTGCGTTGCAGCCTGGAATTAAACCACACCATGCTGGTTTCTCCCAAGGTTGTTTTCTCCATTTCTGTCACAGATGGGAGTTTCGGTTCCTTGCCACTGTCGCCTTTGGCTTGTTTAGTTGGAGACACAATTTCCTGCAGTATTGTTGACTTGATTGTACAGACACTATTGGAAGAGAACTGAACTGAGCTGGATGATGACATCACTGAATCAACGATGAACCGACTTTAAGTGAACAACTGACTGTTTTCTATTGTCCTTTTGCATTATTAGCACACGTTTTTTTCTGTTTAACACTGTAAAGCTGCTTTGACACAATCTGTATTGTATAAAGCGCTATATAACTAAAGGTGACTTGACTTGACAAACAGTTGCTGGTAGCCATTGACTCCCATAGTATATTTTTCCATACTATGAAAGCCAATGGCTACCAGCGTCATTCTTCAAAATATTTCGTTTTCAACTCATGCAACTTTGGAACAACCTGATGGTGAGTAAATGATGCCACAATTTTCATTTAGCTTGAACTATGTCTTGAAGTTTTGTGGCTTATACCCGAATGTAAAAAAGAAGCCTAAACCAGCATAAGATGGTCTTAGGTGGTCTACTGGTCAGACTAGGTGACCATCTGAACAAGCTTGTCTAAGTTGGAAGACTAGGCTAAGACCAGCTTAGTTTAAGAAGCCTTTTTTCTGCATGGTAGTGCATATCTGTTAGCGATGAAGCTGTTTATATGCTAACGTCAACAAAACCAACATACAATAAAAGCACAAATGCATGCAAATGTTTAAAAAGTATTACAGTAACACATAATTTCACTTGTTAGCATGACCTTGTTGTGAAGTTACATCCAGTCTGGAATGTCCATTGGGAGACACAAATGAGAGTTTGACGAGCTGATGGATGTTTTGTTTGTGTGTTTCAGTGGCGGATGAGAGTAATGTGGCCTCCATTCAAGGACAGAGATCTGGTAAGAACTTTAACACACACACACACATAGCACATATTAAAGCAACATGCCACATGAGAATGTGATTTTACTACGATTAAGGAGTTTTGTAAGGCATGTTAAGGGTAGTTCGTTGGAGCCCGTTTAACCCTGGTAAAATGTAATTTATTTTAATGAACAGCAGCAACAGAAATATGATAAAAGACGCCAATGTTTAATACGTAATTAATTTTATTAACAAACAATAAGTAAGCAATTGCTCTGCCAAGTTGTATAGTTTATCAGCCTCGCAACATCAGTACCACCATACTGCTTTAATAGCCAACATCTCATTTATGGTCAAATGCTACAAGGCTGGCCCAAGATCAAGCATGCGATCTGTAAAGCGCTGTGTTAGTTGACTCACAGGCCAGTAATCTGACTCCAGATCAGTGGCTGTGTCTCAGCCAAGTCAAATGAAGATAAACGGAGGGCGACTGCTGGCCATTTGTAGCCTGTCAGTTGAGGTGAGAGAGTGAGTTGCTGCAAGGAGTGATTGTGTTAGTGGAGGAAACAAAGTGAAAGCAGTGACCACAGACACATGCAGAGTCCGTTCCAAAATTCTAGTTTTCAGTAAAAATAAACTATAATATAACATTTTCAATCTTGACAAATAGCTTTGCAGATTTTTGAATGGGACTATAATTTATACTTTATATTTATAAATAAATAAATGTAATGTGAATATAAATTCATATACAGTATAATTTTATATATATATATATACATATAGAGAGAGAGAGAGATAATCAAATTTTTTAAAATTTATATTTGTAACATTTTATATATTTATATACACAGTACAAAACTTGACCGCAGATGAACTGTACGCACAGACACAGACAGATAGCATTGTATCATAAATTAAATAATCAAAACCACATGCACACAATCAAGACTGAAATTTAGCGGCGCTCACAGCGTGTGCATGCTTAAAAAACACACACAGTCAAATTTACATGCATAGTCTACACATGATGCTTTTGTATACTTCTCAGGGGTCGGGGACAATGGTAAATACATGGAAGGCTGATTGGAGTGTAGTTTTACAGATGTGGGATCCGATAGATATTGACAGGCTGCAGGCTGTTGTGCTGACACACTCATTTTTCTCTCTTTCCTCTGGCACGCTGTACGTACGCCAGGGTCCTTTATATGCTCTGACATATTTCATTATTAGGATGGTCTTGAAAACGTGGCCGCTCTAAGTTTAATCTGACTAAAAACCCCCAGCTAGTGCCGGCCAAGCCAACCACTGCGGTACTCCAAGACCTCTTTCTCTCTCTCTTTTCTTGCATCTGCTTTGCAGTAAACGCAGCATTTTTTAAATGTATATTTCCTGTAAATTCACAATCTAGTATAGCATTATGCAGGCCCTATTATTATTATTAGGTTTTTACACTGTCTGCTAACTGTTTTAGTAAAAATTAATTGCTTAAGGTCATTTTTTTTTTATTTTTTATAATGAAAAAAGTTCTAGCACAGTAATATGGAATTATGCTGCAGTTTATTCATAATATTGAAGCCAAATGTATTGCGTATGCTATTGAAAATCAGCCTAACCTTAAGCAACCTCAAAAAACATTGCACTCATGTGATGTTCCCTTCATGGTAAGTCATAATTCATATGAAAATTGTATCCTGGAAACAATAATCCATTATTTCTATAAAGAGTTTATGAAAAAAAGTGGTTGCCATACTTTGCATGCTTGTCTCAACCACCAAATAGCACCATAGAGAGAGTTTGAGCTGTTCTGAGAGACCAAGTAAAACGCGCTTTGGTCATATTAAGCTTTAGATAGATTTTATTGTGAAAACCGATATATGAAACATATAGCTGATAGCCTGAAATAGTATGATTTTTGAATGTGTGTGTTTAAAATGTACACAAACACTTACACATAGGGTCCAAAATGTTTTGCTTTACTTGGTAATGGCAGGTAAACTGAGAAAATGTATTGAAAATGATGACAATTAGGAAATATGTTCTATTACCATGAAACTCTATTCTGCATTTTGTATTTTATTTTAGTTAATTTCATTTCATTTCATTTCTAAGTTTTCTTTACCTAATATCAATTTCTTGTCTTCTAACCAGATTTAAACTCCACCACTCACAAAAATGTACATACCCATAAAAATGTGCTCATCATATTTTCTATTTAACTAAATCTGCTACTTTCCAAGATCACGTTTACAATTTTTCTTTTCTTTTCTCTTCTTTTCTTTTTTTCTTTTCTTTTCTTTTTATTTCTTGCCAGTGTTTAAACGATTCAGCCCTCGCACGCTCTCCTGGTGACCGTGCGCTCATGCACACTCGCAGCGCACACACTTAACGCCAGGTTCGCATTATTCCGTTTGCACTGCGTATGCGGTGCGTATTTTATCCAATCCGCATGTAACGGATTAAAGCGTTCACAGACTGCATGTGGTTGCGGTCCGGCAGTGCATTCCATGAGCGGTGCGTCTGCAGCAGTGGAGAGATTGTTTCCGCAACGAGCCTCTTTTTTCTGCGATGCAAGCGCTGAATTAAAGTAACAGCGCATGGTTTGCGGTAAATATGAACATGGATTTACACGAAAATGTAGTAATTACACCATAAAAAAATGTAAAGTCTATTGTGTTTCACAGTCAACACATAGGCTATGGCTTTTTGGCTACGTTTAAAGGAAAAGAGCACTTTTAGATAAACAAGGCAATAATAGATGGCACTCGTGGAGGTAGGAAAATAAAGTGCTTTATGAACGCAGGATTGCTTGTAATAAAGATTTAATGCGAAAGAAAGGCAGTAGTGCTGACTGTTTCTGTCAATGATAAGTTTTAATATAGAATGTTTGTGATAATGTAAGAAAAGTAGTTTAAATGTTTTGCCACTTGCTTGAGCAACTAAATATATAAATCTAGAAGTAAATGCTAAAGTAAAAACCATTGAATAATGTGTTTCTTATATTTATTGCGTTTAACACGTCTATGAAAGATTGTATTACTGTACTGTGTAAAC